AAAAATGAACCACACTGTATCCTGAAGCTTATAATAAAATGTATTAGAATATTTTGTGAATTAAATCAAAGATCCAAAACTTGAACTTACTCTGGAAGCTGTTTTCCTGAGCATCTTTGACATGTTAGTTATTACAGGTCAGGCCATTGGGATTCACTGGAAGTTCAGATATAACTACTGTCTAAATTACAACTGAAATTTTAATTGCTTTTCACTAAGGGTCATGAAACTGAGCAAGGCATCAAAAAGTTCTGTTATTAGTCCAGATTATATGGAAAAGCTGAATGACTTTTAATGAATATACGAGATTGATATCTAAAAACTTTTTTTGTATGTGTGTGTGTGGCACTTTTACAGGTTTACCATCTATTCAGTTAAACTTCATACCTTAGACATATTTGTAAAAGGGGTAACACAGTCTAAAACGATACATGAATCCTCCTGAGCAGTAAGCAAATGTATCTGCACATTTAAATATATAATCCTCATCAGGTTTGCCATTTGTGGAATATTTTGCTGTGCTAAATTGTCTTTCACAAGACAAAATGGCAATAGTAGCAAAGAAAGCAAAACTAAACATGGTGCTAAATTACAATTTATCCACAAACATTCCCACAGAAAATCTAAATTAATAAGGACTTGAAATAAAATGGAACATAGAAAAAGAAATTATTCTACTAGCAAAATAAGGCAAGAAAATGCAGTTGTTTTGCTAATGTTACTTTTCTCTGTGCAGAAAATTCCTCAGACAACATTTCCAACTCAATCTTCCAAAAGTTTTTCCATGCAAAAAGTTCCAAAAACAAGAAGCCTGACTTGTTGTTGTTGTTGTTGTTAGAGAAATTTCTAACATAGCATCTCTGATAGCTTGGTTTCCATCTACTATTGTTACTAAGTAGATGATAAAGACTTGTTTCACTCTGAATAATAAAAACAAGCCAAAAATCAACTACAAGATATCACAGGAGACACTGAAAGCCAATACAGGAATGAATTATTTCTAAAACTCACAAAAACGCACCATAGTGCAAGTAATGTGTCACTGAGAGAGCATTTTCAGACAGCCAAATATTTATGTGGACTTTTTTTTTTAATATATTTAAAAAAAAAAAAAAAACATACCAAAGAATGGATAATGACACTCTAAGCAGAATGTCAGCAGTTAAGCAATAGACATGACAAAATAGCTTTAATTTTTTTTTTCTATTTCCTTAAAATATTTTACAGTTAATGTTTGAACTTAATGTTGTGACTCCTTATCACAAAACACTGCCTCAATAAACCATATCTTAGAACAAGGCTTTAAACATAATTAATCTGATCAATCTGATCATATCTATCATTTTTTTAAAGAAACTTGGGAAATTTTATGGAAAGTCTAGAACAGACACATTTTCCTCACAGTATGTATAAGACAAAGGACATAAGATTTATACAAATGGGAAGTTACACAATCAGTATTGAAAAAGAGCAAGTACTTCCATGATCCTCTCAGATATTTTAAGAAAAGTAGAATATTAAAAAGTAGAGTTGTCTAAAAGATTTTTATTATTTCCCATGTACAAAAAAATAAATCTGTCTGATTAAGAAACAGTTGAGAACTAGCTTGTGATCCTATATACTTCTGTGAATATTTGTGTACATCTTCCCATTCACAATGCCACTGTTATTCTTAGATCCAGCTGTTTTACACTCCTTGCCAGATGGCACTTTTATGTACAATTCTAATTAAGTATAGTATGTGGAACAGTACTGGAGAAAAGCCAGCTATTGAGCAATAACTACACTGATACCTTTGAAAATATGAACACCAAAAAAAGCCTAAACTGAAAAACATAAGTGAGCAGAACATATAAAGTAGCGAGACATGTTTTCACCTCATCATTGATCAGCTCTATCATTTTTATGTGGATGCTGAATGTTAAGGGAAAGAAATCCAATAAATGAGGTAGACTTCAGGAGATAGTGCAGTAATTAGAAGGCAAGCTATGTAGGACCAGTATTACATTTCTGTACCTGAAAGAAACAGCTCATATCTACGGTTGTGAACTGCATTTCACCCCAGAAGAGAAAACAGAAGCAGAGAAAAGAATATTAACTTCATAATCAGTTTCCATGCTACTGAAATTGCAAGAAAGTGAAAAAAGGGAGTTCTGAGTTAACAGTTTAGTGGAAAATTAGGAAGGTCTTTGCTAGTGCATTTTCTGGTCATGCCTAAAGATGATTATAGCAATTTTTTTTTCCCCACTCTATTCAAGCCACTAGTGAAGTATGAAATTCAGATGTCAGGATGACAAAAGAAAAGAGGCAGTTCACCTTCATTGTTGATGTCAATAAAACTCAGAGGAGTAATTCCAAGTGCATGTGTTAAACCACCTTTTAGAAGCAGAAAAATAAACCGAACTGGACAGAGGAAGGAAGGAAGTTGTGGAAACTACTTAAGTGTGGAAAATGAAAAAGTATTTGCAGACAACATGCTCTATGTTGTAGTGCTGCAACACTACAGCAAACTAGAGAACCGACTGAAGACTGTCGGTTTTACTCTTAAAATTGAGGAAATTGAGGCACGCTTCCATTATTTTCTTATCTTGAAGAACTAAATTATAAACAATTTCAAAGGAAACATAAGTTGGAAATGAACCATTATTAGCATAAATGATGCTATCTTGTACAAAAGTAAATCACTTTCTTATTAAAAAATCTTCTGTGTAAGTGCTATGATTTTTTTTTTTTTTTTTTAAAGGTCTTCTATTGAAAGCAAAATTAAAGACATAAAATGTCAATGCTTTGGTTATTATCCAAAAATTAATTATTTGGGTAATATTTATAGAATCCCTCTATAAACATTTTTCATGTTGAACTGCTATTGCTAGTACTGAAAAACACCATTGTCTACGGAAACAGTATTTTATGAATGAAATGCTACAAATAAAGGAAGGAAAGAGGTTTTTTGTTAGTACTGAGTGAAACATTTCCTATCAGGAAGTGACAAGATTTAATTGTTAGGGATGCCAAGGTAGAAATTTCTCTTCTAAATGATTTTCCATTTTTAAAGACTGAAATATTCCATTAGTTACTAGCATGGAAAAAATGTTATATGCACAACTTGTGGTACTAGGAGACAATGATTCAAATCAGTGGCATGCAGGAAATAAAAGCATGTAGTTTACACTCCTCTCAGCTGTAATGAAATTTGTTTTTTCAGCCTGCTTTTGCCATTACTTATGCCATTACTTCAGTTGAGGGAACAATAGGTAATATATGCAGGACTGGCCTTACTGAATTCCTCATTGTCTGTCACTGGAACTAATAATGACAAGTCTTTGACACAAATCACTCTTTTTCCTTCCCTCACCATCCAAGAAAAGGGTATATTGTAAGCTGTTCCCATCTTTCTTGAATGCTGTTTATTGTATGCATGAAGTTATGTAGGGTTTCTTCAAGGATATAGCTGACCATTGTGTCTAGAAAACTACTGGCAGATTAGGAAAAAATTATTTTATTCTGGACAAATGCTTACACTAGTAGTCTTCAGCTCTGTATAGAAGACTTGATTTTTGTCACTGTACATGTGAGATCAAATAATGTCTAAGTGTCCATAGCACAGTCTGAATACAACAGCTATAGAATGTCAAGAGGAATCACATGATCACATATGTCACTGTCCAATATGCAACTAGATCACTTATAGGCTAGAACACATTCTCCACTTTCTCAGTTATTTTATAAAGGGGACTGCAAGTCTTCCTCACTTCTCACCTTCATCATTTCAAACTTGACAAGATCCTAAAAGGAATTACTTTTACTAATGATACACTTAGGAATCTAAATTAACCTATTCTGTTTGACAGTTTTGACATGGATATGTAGAGCACCCTGAAGTTTTTGCACTGTGTTTTGAAAACATCTTCAGAAAAGCTTAGATGCTTCAATGGTGACATATTAAAGAAAATAATCCTCCTACGAAGGGGAAAGAAGTACTGTCCATATTTCAAGGAATTTCACAAAAGTACTTGGATTTTTCCTCTCCACAAAACAAACAAACAAACAAACAAATAAATAAATAAACAAATCTCTAACTTTCTTGTGTTATGCTTGGTTTATCTAGATTACAAAGGTATGGCTTAGCTGTTGCAGAAAAGGTAAGCCTAAATGTAGTTTAGAAGAAAATGTTCAAGACCTTTGAAATACTGTTTATACTTCAGAATATCATCCTCTCAAAATAGTAAATTCAAAAGAGTAATGTTTTATTAAATCACAGGTTTCTTCTGCTTTAGACTACTGTTTTATCTATTTCACTAGTGCCAGCATCAAGCTTGGTCTAAAATGAGGGTAGAGGATGAATGGGACCAAAGGAAGGATATTCCTAGTTACATCGTTACATATCAAAACATCTCCTTTAATGTCAAGATGAAACTTATTGCCTGGTTAAAACCACAACACGGTATTATAATGTTGGTGTGTCAACACATAATTAAAAACATATTCAGATTTGGAAAATTTTAGTGTTCACCTTATCTAGGGAGGTATCTTTTAAATTCAGGAGGTGAAAATCTGAAAGCAAGAAACAGTGCTCATGCTTCAGAAGCTTTCTGTTCTATTCAGAAGTATTTTTGTCACTGTCCTGAATTTTTTTTTTCCTGCTGCAAGCTAATTTTATTCACAAATATTCTTCCTCTGTTTATTACTGTAGTCTTGAACATGAAAGATCCTACATATGCCCAATGAACATAAAAATTTCACACTATGTGTTCTCTCAACACAAAGAAGCACAGTTTTTCTGCCTATGCTTTCTACAAATCCATGTGAATATGTTCAATCCAGTTTACATAAGATCTTTTTCCCATCCTTGAGTTATTTGGTAGACCATGCAGTATTACAGAATTCTTCACAATCTGGCAATGAGCTCAGAGTTGAAGTAGGTGAATGGAGCAATATAAAGACGTGTAAGAAAGACACTGTAAGAAAGGAGGGAAAGAAAAATGTACAAAAATACTCACTTTGATGAATCTATGAAGTATATTACAAGAGCACCAATACTAAGAGCGAAGACTAAGACAACCTACAAAAGAAAAGAGCAATTATTAAGAGTGTTAGAGTGAAACATTTATCATTCTACACATCAACATACACAAGCAAAAGACAAGGAAAATGAATCATAAAATAACATTATTTGTATTTCAGCTGTCACTTTCTTTATGAAAACTAATCCTACTTGAATTTCAAACAGTATATATTATTACAGAATGCTTTCTTGTGTTGAAAAGTAGCCACAAACAAGTTGAAGCTCTTTTCTGTGCAATCCAGATTACAAATAAGTCCTAGGCCCTAACTTCTACTGATGTAGATTCTTTAATTTCAAATGGCTTGTAATACCAGCATGTGGCATTCAAGTCACAGCACAGCTTTTATAGAACTGGCCTTGCTCTTAGATTATACTGTATTTTTATTATCTATATACATGATTGTGAAATCCACAGGTTAAATGTAAGGCTATGTAAAATATATATATTTTCTAGGCGATCACTTCCATTGAGACAATAACTAATTATTAAATAGGTTAAAATAACAGCAGGTACACAAACAGAGCACTCTGTAGCCCCATTATCTCTGCTTTAAATTTGTTGATTTTTTTTTTTAACAAATGATTATGTTAGATATGGCATCCAGTCTTCATTAGCAATGTAGAAATTGCTTTTTTGTCTAACATAGCAAAAACTGGATTCATCCCATCTCCATCTGTCTGTAACTTTATTTTCTCCAAACATAAAGCCGATACAATTATCTATTCTACTGGCTCTGACAAATTCTCTAGTAGCATGAGAACATTCAGTTTCACATCCTACCTGAAGTAGGACAGTGTAACTGAAATGTATTATGCACCCTAATTTTGAATTGAAGAATCATGAAGTACACAAAGTTTGTGAATCCAATGTAACTCAGATGTCTGATATAATAAATCTGGGTTTATGTCTGTTGAACAATGCCATCCACAGGATAATTTGCAACCTGAAAACATGGATACAATTAAGCAATTTTTATGTGCTATACCATGATTCTGCAGGAAAAAAATCAGAAAAGATCTGTGTCTGTACACTAAGGATGAAAAACAGATGGAAAATTATGTCTCCTGAAACTTTTATCTGATTTGCTAGTCTACAGAAACAAAACGAAATGTCCTTTGGACTTTTGGCAGCTTTAAGTAGCTGCTTAGATGTAACATCCTTTAAAATAAACCTAGAGAATAGATAGCTCAGGATTGGAGAGTCCAAGGTACTAGTAAGTGGACATGCAGCTTCTCACATTTTCAGTTAAAATACATCTTCTTAGGTCAGTAATGGCTAAAAAACACATCATCTACACATCATCTAAACAAGTATATTTGTTAAATGAACTAATGGTGTCATTCCAGTTCTGACTGAGCAGATTTATTCATCTCTTTGAATTTCACAACTAATGTGCATTATCACCGCAATTGCTACTTTTGTTGACAATCTCAACTGTTCAAGCAACAGATGAGCAATGAAACAAGAATTTGTTCACCTAGTAAAGGCTTTAGACCTAGAAGTTTTCACTGGAAGTTATTAGTTTTCATTTAGCTAATGAATACAGAAATTAGTTCTCAAAGACTGTCTCACGCAATCCTTGAACTATTCATGATTCAGTAACACCTCGTCTCCACATGAAAGAATTTGGAAGGAAATTCTGTTCCAGTTACTAATTTCTTTATAACTATTAAACTAACTTAATTTTTTTTTTCCACCTCAAAAAAACAAGGTTTTGTTTGCTTTCTGTGCAGATCTTTCTTTTTTTCTGCATACTAATCAAAATATAGTGTTCTATACATGAAGACTACTTTTCACCTAGTTTCTAGGAAAAGGATTTTCATTTTATTAGAAAATAAAAAGTACCATTTGTTTTGGTACAAATGTTATGTACATTTGGTACATAACATATAAAGAGCAACACATCACCAAGAGAAGAGATTATCTTAATAACTACAATACTTTACACCTTTTTCTGAAGCTGCCATATTAGGAAGGAGGTTGACAGTCATACTGCAAGCAATACACGAGAACATACAATTTGTCAGTTCTAAGCAGGCCTAAAATGGTAATTTAGAAGTTTTTGTACCCTCAGCTATTACTCTGTACTGTAATTACAATATCTGAAGTAACATGTGATCATAATTCTATATTAAACCATTGAGTTCTGCACGGCCAAAATCATCAAACATGCTTATATATTCCAACAGAAATCTCAAAAAAATTATGTCATCACTGCAAATTGTTAAAAAATTCTATTCAACTTAAAGCTTAGATTCGTTTTTCATCCTTTTTATATCTTACACTTTATAATCTTTTTTTTTTTTCCTGAATGTCTGAATGAGCATTTTACCTGAGTATCAGTACTTGTTGTCTTATCTGACCCTTTATCATAGAATGACAGAATATCCTGGGTTGAAAAGGACCTCAAGGATCATCTAGCTTCAACATCCCCTGCCATGGGCAGGGCTGCCAATCACTAGATCAGGCTGCATTTATAACCCAAGTCAGTCAGAACTCAGTCAAATTCAAGGAATGAAGCATGAAGCTCTTCAAATATCATTTTGCTATCTAAGTTTCAAAGTGTTAATATCTGCAGTTTGAATGTTCTTTCATTAAGCTGCATTATTGGTCAAATGTGTACAGGTGTTTTAGGATGAAATAAATTATTAAAACCATATCAACATCTGACAAGATATTAATGTGGTGAGCAGAGTTTGTTGATTGTCATCTGACAATATACAGCAACTTCTGATTTGCAGTGATCCTAAATCCTACATTTCTCAGAACAAAGATCCTGGGAATTAAACTGATCGTAATTCCCCATTTCTCCCATCTCCACAGCATTCTATGCCAGACACAATTACAGAGCTTGCGCTTGAATCAAATTTGCCATCTAGCTCTAGAGTTATTTACTCTCTGAACATTTCAAGTGAGACTTGTATGTTTTCTTTAAGAAACATTGTTAACCAAATTGCTGAAGCCCCTGGGAGTACACTGCTTACATTTTTGGCCCAAACTTCTTTTAAACGTAGTATTAAAATATTATCTGCTTTGAAGTACCTAATGGTGATTTTTGATCTACACTTTGTAGAATAACTTTTAAAGTAATATACTGTTATAACCATTACAAAAGTATCTCCTAAACAATGACAACAAAAAAAAATTTCCAAAACAGCAATTTTGATATAAAGAATGTTAAAACTATCTCATTTAATGATGAAAATGAAATTTAAGAAACTAACCTTCGAATCTTATGGGGACCCTATGACAGTTCTCACTCTTTCAAGTACTGCAAACTAAACAAGAAAAGTTGGACTTTGATTTTCTATTTTGCTTAGTAAGTAGTAGGTCACAATATTCAGTCACTGCCTATTAGCTAAAGGAGATCTCTGGAAAAAAAACAGCATAATTTTATACCAGCATTGCATTTTCATTATATCCAGTCTCTTAATAATCATCACTATGTGCTTAAATAATGTTTTACGTATCCTGGCTATGCATTCTCCCAAGATGCTTAAGTAATTTAAATGTTCTATGACAGTTCATAATTCTGGCATCAAAATGTAAATACCTAAAGAATATTTTGTAAGAAACTCCACATTCCCATGCTTCTCCAGTTACATAGTACAAAGCAACTACACCACTTGCCTATTGTAGAGTACTGCAGATAAAGGTTTATTTCCTCTTTTCTTATTCCAGCACAGATACCTGGCACTACAGTTCATAATGTCCCCCAGAATCATAGTGCCTCAGGAGAAAATGGAATCTTAAGTTTCATTTTTAACCCACTGGCAGGGAAACACATTTTTCTTTTGCTAAGTGAGACATCAAGATGAACCTGAACATGCCAAGTGTTTGGGAGAAGATCTAAATCAGGTTAAAATTTAATAATAATAATAATAATAATAATAATAATAATGTCCTTCCACGATAAATAAATCTTTTTGATAAAATCTCAAGTGCAAAAGTTTTTAGCTGTATTCCTACCCACAAATGCTGAATGCAACCAGGTTATTTTGAATTTACATCCTTGACATCGGCTTTTGGGAGCCGATGTCTATTTATGAGAACTTAGTATCTTTCAGAAGTACAAACCTAGACAGACTGATATCCCAAACCCACAATAACTAGAACCTACAGGAAGAAAAAAGCTTGCATGCATGTGAATTATTGCCTCACTTGTTAAGTAGGCCATGGGGAGAAGCTTGCTGGCTTTGTTTATTATTCCAATGCATTTGGCACAACACTTCAATTGCTACACATCTATTATAGCTTTTCTCTGGAAGGAAAGAATCTTTTAATTTATAATAAATTACTGTTTGTTTAAGACTGAGAAACATGAAGTCATATGCTAGCAGCTACACTGAGTACTTAAAGCACTGAGCTAAAAATAAATAGTCTGATTAAAAGAAGGGGTGAATAAACATGGAATAGTTGCTGCATATCCTTAAATCTTTCCTTAAAAACAAAATTAATCCAGCTAGAGTTCAACAAAAGCATACAATGCCTATTTTAAGCAGAAGTCAGAGAAAAAGCAGAAAAAAATCAACTTAAAGAAAAATAAAGAGTTTTGCTCTCCACTACTACTGAGTTGCCCCAGAAGAACTTTGTTCTGCTGAGATACTTTATTAATCCTCATTAGGAACAACCACAGAAATTAAAAGAAAAAAAGAAATAAAAGAAAAATAAAAAAGGACATTTTATAAGTGTATAGTAACATGAGTTGCAGAGAAAGCATAAGCATTCTGCAAATGCTATTAGAACGAACCCATGATAACAACAGTGGAGCTCAGCACACTTTCCAGGACTAGGCCTAAATAACAAAAGGAAGAAAATGACGATGATCCAAAGGGTGGCACTGTTTCTCCTACAACTGCTTTGAACTACTATCCCAGTATCACTGAAGAAGCATGGAAATGCTGTTCACATTAGAGAAAAGAGAGATAATTGTTATATACACAGCAATGGGTAATTTAAAGATTCTACAGTGGGAACACTTTATCGATGTCAGCCT